GCCCGTGTCCGCGTCCGGCCCGGCGCGGAGCCCGCGGCCCCTCGCAGAGCGCCCCGCGCGGCCCCTGCCCCGCGGCGCTCACACACACCCCGGCGAGCCCCTGAGCACGCGCGGCTGCCTGCGGCCGCCCCGGGCTGCTTCCGAAACGCTCAGCGCCTGCGGCCCTGTGCCTGCTCGCCCTGCCGAGCAATGGGCGAGAGGCCAGTGCTGCAGAAGAGGCTTGGAAGGACCCCCTTGGTCATAGACAGTCCGGGCTACAGATGTTCAAAGAATTAGAGGAGCATGCAAGTCTGCAGGGATCATCAAAAGAGCCAGGGAAGCAAGAGGAACAGCTGCTCAACTCGCACTGTAAGGCTGTATCAGCAGGAGGGAGCTTTGGTGGAGGAAGAATGGAAATAGATTCTTGATAGCATCAGTATGGGGTGAAGTATTTGCTATCCAAGCAGGAGAAGGGCCTCATTCATCCTAACAAATCTATTCGCATTATTTTTCTTATAAGAAGTCATAAGTTTCTCCTTTGGGAAGGGATTATACCTTTCCGTAACAGCTCTCAGACTAAACAAAGAACCTGGACTTCCTTCCTTTAAGGAGGATTTTACAAATTACACGAGTGGAGTTTAGCCCAGCAACCTCACTCTGATTTGCTTCACTCTGCATGGCCTTCCAGAGGATACATGGCAGGCAGAGGATACACAGCCAGCTCGGAGCACATTGCACAAGGCACCCTGCAGAGGGGCCTTCCGCTCATTCCTTAACCATCTGCCCGTTCCTTAACCATCGGCCCATTGCCTCCCCCAGGCAGGCAGGGTTCCGGCCATATCCTCCTTCCAGGCCTGACTCCGTAGCTCACGAGGCCACGGCTTGGCCTGGCTGCCAGCAGGAGCCCTTAACACAGGGTACGTAACGGCTCCACCCTGGAGTACCTGAAGAACTAACCCCGCTTATCTCAAGTTCCCTAGTTGTGCCCTATGCCCTCCCTTCTTCACAAAGTATTAACTTTTTCTTTTTTTTTTTTTCCCTCACATTCCTGTACATGCTTTTATAGTTTTCTCCCTCCCTTATGCTTGATGTGGTTACAGGATTGTTGTCAACCTTCTCTTCCACCCAAAGGGAAGTCTGTGGGTGCCCCTGAGCCCTAAGCCTCTTAAAGAGCCCTCTTACCCCTTTAAAAGCAGAACAACCATAGTGCTTTCACCCTGTGCTCCTGGTGACACTGAAAAATATTTCCATGTAGCCAAAATCAAGGAAAACATTGTGTAATGCCTTTTCCAGAGCAGGGGCTGTGCCCCTCCAGAAATTGTCTTTGGGCCGAGCCTTTAGAGCAAAAACGGAATGCTGAACCTTGTTTGCATCATAACGCATGTAACCACAAAACCGGCTTCGATCTCGAGCTGACACTGCTTCCCCTTCTCAGCATTTCACCAAATGCAACAGGAACAGCGAGACTGTGACAGTGCTGGCTTAGTTTCATTTTGTTCCTCCACAGCAGTTTCACCCTCCAGTTGTTTACATGACTCTGTGTTGGCCCTCAAGGTTACCTGTCCGGGCAGTTTATTGCTGCATGGTTGAAAGAGGTTATTGAAGTAAAAAAATACCCCCAGTACTCTCTTGCTGAGTGCTTCCTGGGTATTGGCATTAGCAGGTGGAAACAGTAACTGCATTTTTCTTCAAAATCATTAATCCTCCAAACTAATCTTTATCCTCTCAGTGAGAAAGTACAACTACCAAAACATTCAGAGTCTTGCAAGCAGCTGGGTCAGCAAGACTTGCAGGGCAGCTTTGCATCTGCATTAAACTCTTGTCAGAACGCTGCAAGTTCACTCATGCCCTTGCATGTTTGAGGTGCCACCAGGAAAGCCTTTGCAGTCTCCTAGTTGCATTTCTTTTCAAGTCCAGTGAGTCGTGGGCAGTTAGTACGGATGAGATAACAGCATGTAAGCAAACAGGTGCCTGTTTGTTTTGTAGCTAAGACCTTCGTTGTTGGCAGCCAGTGGGGATTAATAATTGGAAAGGGAAGACGAGGCAGCGTCTGTTTGTTGTTGTCTTCAGCACGTTACCTGCTTTAGCGCTGCTGCCCAGCCGGGCTGGGGGAGCAGCCGGGAAGGCCTAACCCAAATGTCATACAGAGCAGCCAAAAGCCTGACTGGGGGCCCCCGTCTGCCCTGCGGGGTGTGTGGGCACATCGGGCAGCTCAGGGCGAAGGTTCGCGGTGTGGGTCAGAGCCTGAGGCGCTGGAGCGGTCCCGTGGTTCTGCTCGCTTGGGACTGGACCTTTCCCTACAGGACTGTGGCTGCGGATACCTCTGTCCTCCCGGAGCGGCGCCGCCCGGTTCGGCGGGACTGCCCGTGCTCAGTCGCTTGCGACATTTGGCCTCTGTGCACAGAGTGAAACCAGCTTGCTCGACAGCGGCCACCCGGGAGCCGTTGCTTACTATTTTCTAGTAGTGCCCAGGACGTTCTCCCTCTTTTCCAAGTAGCAAAGATGTCGTGTCCTACCCCAGTGGCATTTGTAGGTAATGGTTTTCAGGCAGAGCTGATTTGATACGGAGCAGCATGTCCCAGTTACGAAAGCTCTGCGTGTTTCAGCATCAAGCACATCACTAAATCACTTTCCTCTACCATCTATTTATTTAGTAATAATCAGTTACGAGTGTAATCTCCAGGCAAAGGATTAGTATCATCTGCTCTCCACTCAATGCCTTTGAAGTTTCTTTATGAGGAAGCCTCAAGTGAAATCTAAGCAAACCTGATCCTGCGAGGGAAGAGACTAGGCCACCTCCCCAGGTCTTTGTAGGCACCAGTTTTCTGATGGCATCATGGCAAGCATCCACCCTGCTGCTGCCTCCTCCTTTCTTCTGCCTCTTACCTGCTCACTGACTCCTTGGAAACTCAGAACAGTGGGAGCAGGGACCCCAGTTCCTTCATAGCTGGAGCTCACCAAGATCCGTGGAGCGGAGAGTAGCGTTGCCCTGACCTCAGCATCTCGTGAGTTTGCAACAGACTGTCAAGCACATCATTGCTCATACGCTGTTGGGAAGCAAGGAGTTCACAAACAGATGCTGCAGAAGAAAGCTTTAAATGCTTGGTTTTTGCAGCTGGAAGAAACATTAGCTAGGCTTGTAGTTAATGAATGTAGCAATTTCTGAAAAGAAGAAAATCTCTGGACAGACCTCCTTCCTGACCTTCACAGTGAATGTGTATGAGGTGGCTGTGTAACACACATTGCCTCCCTGTGGCAGTGTGACAAACATTGTATTTTTGGTGCTTGATAAGAGCTGCTCTTTAAATATCTCTGCTCTATAAAATTTTACCCTAAGCAATAAAATGCTGTAGGGTAAGAAACTATCTAAAAGGGCACATGGCCATTACAGGGCAATGGCAAATAATCTGATTGTGTTTGCCCAGGCAAATGCAAACTTTCTCCTTCTTATAGCAGATTGAGCAATGACAGCTTTCATCAAAATGATGCACTTCCAGGAGAAAATTTACATTTACTAGAGGACACTCAGTACAAGATTGGATCTGTAACTCAAAGCCTAATGGGCCATAGGGAGAAGTAGAAAAATGTGATCCAGGGAGGGAAGTCGGTCTTGGTGTAGCTCAGAGTCCTTTTGGTCCTCTAGCTGCTCCATTCTCCTAGGGCACAATGGACCTAGGACTCAGTCTCATGCCACAGCCTGGGCACAACAAAACCCACAGAGCAGCTGAGTGCCACTGAAACAGACGTCCTTTGTGTATGAGAAAGACCCAGCTGAATGTGGTGATAGGCACAGTTCCTCCTTGTGAAAACACTGGCTTTGCCCTTGCAGCAGCCAAAGCAAGGCAATTTTGCAGGCTGGGGACTACATGGCAGTGAAACCAGACAGCAACTTCTTTTCAGATACCTAAAATGTGGATATTAGCAAGGAATGAAACACAGGTATCTCTGCCCCCCTTTCAGTATCAAATCGTAGCCCTTACAGTCCTGACAGGGAACTAAAATAAATATGAACAGTTCTGTACAGCTATGAAGAGCACCTCAGCAGAGACTTGAGAACTGAAATAGATAAAAGGTTTTGGTGCTGCCTCTTGTAGCTCTTTCTTGCAACACAGCATGGGCAGAAAGGGGCAGTTGCTTCAACTAGTTGTTGTGGGTTCCAAAGAGAAAAGTTTCATCCGCTCCCTCTCCCTTGGCTGCCATGTGATGGGCATTTTCTCCAGTATACCACAGGGAGATAAAACAGTTTTTCCTACTTGGATTTCCCCCATCTCTGCTCCAACACATATTCACCATGCTTTGCCCAATGACAGAGCCTGCATAGCAGCATCAGCCACACGCTGTAACAATATAACTTTGCTGAGAGGCTGCACAGTTACTCTTTGCTGAGCAACTGTGATATCCACATTCTCCTCTTTGTGCTGTTCTGGAAAGCTCAACTTCCATGTTCCATTTAGTAAACAGGAGTCTGAAACCACCATTCAGGTTCACAGAAGTTTAGCAGGATCATACTGTTTTCCATGGCCTCATTTGGTCATAAGATGAACATTTTTTTTCCAGACAGAGCTAAAACACAAAGCTTTGTCAGAGCTATTTTCAGAAAGCAGACTAAATCCAGTAGCACTGTATGGTTATAACAAAGAAAGCTCAGAGACCCTTTAAAAGAACAAACAAATTTAATAGTATTTCTATAACAAATAATTAATCAAATAGGCCAAATCCCATGTCATCGTCAGATTCTTCAGATTCTTCTTTCTTCTCTTCCTTCTTCTCCTCAGCTGAAAGGAGAAAACCAAGCAAGGCCACAGTCAGCAATTACTGTACGTTTTGCACAGCCGGTTTTGAGGAGCCAAGTTTCCGCTCCGCCGTTCCCCGCGGCCCCGACACCCGGACACGCACTCACCTGGAGCCGGGGCAGCGCCGCCGGCGGCCGGGGCGGCCGAGCCCCCGCCGGCAGCCACGGGCACCGCTCCGCCGGCCGGCATGCTGGCCAGCTTCCCGTTACCTGCGCGGGACACGGGACGGACACAGTCACACACGCGCTGCAGCGTGTCCAGCGACGCTGCCCGCGCCCCGGCACCGCACAAGAGCTTAAGGAGCTCCTTCTAGGTGACTTCTGTTGAGTTGTGTCTACTTACTGGCCACAGAGAATTGTATGGGCATGACTAACTTTACACAGGAGAGAGGATTAAGAACTGCTGTATTTGTGGCAGAGAACACAGTACTCTGATATTCCAACACCTTGCAAACTCTTGTTGCATGTCCCTTCAGACTAGCAAATTCCCTTCTGATTTATGCCTCTCTTTGGACAGCTAACTCATTCTCTGGCATCTGCCTTTCACATATCAAGGCTCCCTTGGCATTCTGAGGTTGCATTCACAGTACGTTTGCCTGTATTACATTTTCTGGGAATCAATGTCTAAATAATTGCTTGTTATTTCAAGCTCTAATAAAGTAAACAAACATGTTTCATATGCCGGTCGGTGTTCTAGGAAACTATTTTAAGATCAAGTATTACATAAACAGATGGCTGAAATGTGTTGTAAGCACATGCAGAATGGCTCTCTCAAGCCTTCAGACCACACCAACAGAAACATCCAGTTACTTTTCCTACCAGCAATACCAGGCAAAGTTCTGGCAACCATTGTGCAAATACAGTTCAAATCACATTCTTAAAAGCTCCCTTGTGGCTATGCATTTGCAAAATAGAGATTAATTAATTCCAAACTTTTGCACTACCCCCAGCTCTACATTATTTCAGCCCTGTGACCCAGTGAAGCAATTGTAAGAGTTGCAGCTTAGGCACCAGCAGGTAAGGTAAGGGCACAAGTTTCCTGTACAGATCAGTACAAATCAAAGAGTCCTAGCTCGGAAAAACAGAAAATTTAAAAAAAAGTGTTTTAGAGGCTTGTACAGCCAGACTGAGGTATCTCTAGCAAAGGTATGCTTTGGAGGCTTGTATTAATTGTAGTATTGCAGTGGAGGCAACTGTGTCCTTTATAAGCACTGCCACTTCTACTTGCATTTAATAGTCTCTTCTTCCTATTTTAAGGAATAGGATTCCTATTCTTCCCACTGTGCAAAGTGGGTAAATTCCAAAAACAAACCCAAAACTCCCAGAGTACCACAGGTGAGCTAATTTCTTTCTCTAATCATCATGTCCAGAAAACCACGTTATGAGCAGACCACCAGGAAGCTCATAGACGTCTCCCGGTTTAATGTGGTCCACAAGCGAAACCCAGCAGGTACTGGCACCGACCTGCAGGGAATTAGAATGGACCTGCTGCATCTCCGTCATTTCGGCAGAGGCCTCGGCAGCGAGACAGAGTGAGGGACAGCCGAGGGGCTGACGGCAGCTCCCTGCTCCTTGGCTGCAGCTACCGAACTGGCAGAGGCAGCCGCGGCACCGAGACTGCACTTACCCTGAGCAATGACATCTTCGATGTTCTTTCCATTCAGCTCACTAATAACCTGCGAGAGTTCAACGTAAAACGTTAATAGTCTCAAAACAAGAGGATAATTACATTTAAACAAGCACTGATTCCTGGCTGTGTGCAATGTCCATCCTGCTGCTGCACAGCTCTGACGTGCCTTATTTCTCGGTGGAAGGGACAGGGCACTGAAGCAAAAAGCTCCAGTAAAGTCTTTCGCACTTTTCTGTGAAATTTCTCTCATGAAATCTGTTACAAGAAATTCATAATGAATCCCTGGCTGTTTCCCAAAGCTGGATACGCAGATCTCCCGGAGCCAACTGGGAAACCCCACTAATGGGTTGCTGGCCCCTCGGGGACTGGTAACACATCTTGCCTAACTTCCATTGGGAGGCTCCGGAGCGCTGGGCCCCAACCCAAAGGCAGTGTCCTGTTCCTGGCACTCCCAACTGCTGGAGCCAAGCTGGACGCTCTATCTTTGCACTGGAACAGGCAGTCCTGACTGCTATTTTACTATCATTGTTTTACAGGCAGGGCTGAGGAAAACAAGCATTGCCAAACGGGCAATCAAAAAATAAAAACAAAGTTAGATTGTGGATGTTCCTAGGGAGTTCCTGAAGAAAATCTGCTGCTCACACAGAGCTCACAGCCTGTGAAATGCGACATCTGTGTGTCCCCTTAATTTGGGTGCTAAAACTTCACTAGATTTACACTAGCGTAAACTTCAGCCAGCACAAACACACAAGGATGAGCAACTACGGCCAAAACAACCTCCTGGGAGAGCTTCTGGATAGTGGAAAATCAGAGGAAACAATTTATGAGGGCAATAAGCATCTGCCAACCAGGCGACAGGCCTGGAGACCTCGCAGCAGCCCAAGGGCTGCGTGCCGGGCAGCCAGCACCTGGCCGGGCCTGCCCGGAACACGCGGCGCCGGAATGGGAAAAGAGCCGCGTTTCCTGCGGCCCTCGGGAAACACCCCGTGCACACCCGAGCTATGTAGGCATGTAACCATGCACACAATCTGACTTTTTATATATTTTATATATGTGTGTACATATATATACACACACATACATATACACACACATATATATAAGTATATATCCCCTTTTCCCGTGGCTGGGTGCTTGCCCGGCGGCGGGGCCGGCGCACGAGCCCCTCCCGCGCCCCGCGCCGCCACCTTGTTCACGCGCTCATCGTCCGTCTCGATGCCGACGCTGTCCAGGATCTTCTTGAGGTCCTTGGACGTGGGCGACTCGTTGCCGCCGAGCACGGCGAGCAGGTAGGCCGCGACGTAGCGCATGCTGCAAGGCACAAGCAGGGCCGCCTCAGCGCCGCACGTGGCGCCGCGCCCCCCCCCCCCTCCCCGCGCAATGGTCCCGCCCGAGCGCCGCGGCGCGGCCGGGCGAGCGCGACCACCCCCGGGGGGCGGGGGGGGCTGGGGGGAGCGCTTACTCGGCGGGCGGGGGGCGCGGCGGGAGCGAGGCTGCGAGGTGCGCTCGTCACGGCAGCCCGGCGGCCAAAGGGAAGGGGCGGCGCCGCGGCGGGGCCTTCTTCCCGTCACCGCCGAGCAAGGCGCGCGGCCATTGGGCCGCTGGGCAGCGGCGCGGCCAATGGGCGGCCGCGGTTTGGCGGCCGTTGCGCGGGCGCGAGGAGGAGGGAGGAAGGGGGGCGCCGCCATGTTGGTTTCCG